TGATTTTTCTCTCTCTCTCTCTCTCCCTCTCCCTTCCTCTCTGAAATCAATAAAAAATATTTTTAAGAAATAAAGATGCTTTTTTACATTTTAAAGGCTTAAGTTAAGTGGAAAGGAATCCTCATCTACCCACTGTCCCAGACTCCATCCAAGAAGAGTACAGGGGAAAAGACACTGAATTACGTAGCTCTGGCGTACCCAGTGCCTGAAATTACATTTTGTTGTTAACCCCTCAAGAAGCCATAATATAGGGAGCAGGTAGGAATATCCCCATTTCATTACTGAGCTAGCCAAGGCTCAGGAGTCGTCACTAGCCCACTTAGCTAGAGAGTTAAAGATCTGGCCCCAGGATTCTAAATCCCTTACCTTTGCACTAAACCAGAGGACAAGATGGTTAGAAATGCATGTTACCCTATTTTCAGAAATTGTATGTTTGCTGACAATAAGATTTCACACACACATAAGCACCTAGATTTCTGGCTTGCGTTGAAACCTTAGGGGATCTGATAACTCTGTCCAACAACCATGGAGTGTCCAGTGGCAGCCCCGCCAGACCAGGTAGGAACCTCACCAGAAGAGGCAGGCAACCCCACAGTATCCTGCTCTCCCCACAGTCAGTGCCTACCCTGGCTGTGCCAATGTGTTTCGCTCACCAGTCCTCATTCGCTTGTGTATAGGTTTGAGTTTATAATCTTTATCTAAATTCTCAATGCCCAGTGACTCTCTTCCCTCCCTACACCCCAACCTGCTACTGAGCAAAACATGTGCTGTAAGTAAACATCTACCATTCATGCGTCTTTTCTTAAACATTACCTAAAAGTCTATGCTAGACCCAAGGGTATGCAGGGAACAAGACATGGTGTTTGCCCTTAAAGAACTTACATCCTGGTAAGCAACTCAAACAAATAAAAACAGTACCATCCAGATAGGGTAAGAAACGCTGCCGCAGGAAGGGCAGGTACTGTGGCAGCCCTTAACAATCACATATGACATGGTCTAGTTCACCAGGGAAAGCTCTTCAGAGAACTGAGAAACTGAGACACGAGAATAAGAAAAAGCCAACAGGAAAAAGAGGTAAGGCCTGTTTCAGCAGGGAATAAGACCTGGGGGCGAGAGAAACAGGATCGGGCAGGACCCTGAAAGATCTGCTGGCCAGAGGTAAACAGAGAGGATTGTGGGAGAGAAGTTGAGGCCATAAGGTGACAAGAGGAGATTTCTCTGTTGAGAAGGCTCGATCCTTTAAATCTACAACAACACAACTGACAAAACTTTATTCAGAATATAAAGCTCTCCTACAACTCAATAATAAAACACAAAAATCTAATTTTTTAAAGGCGTAAGAGATTTTAAAAGGTAGTTTACTAAAAGATATACAAATGACTTATAAGCACACAAAAAAAACCCTCAATACCATGAGTCCTTACAGGAAGACAAATTAAAACCACTATGGCCTAATATTTCATACCTTCAAGAATGGCTAAAATTAAAAAGACTAACAATACCAAGTGTTGACAAGAATATGAAGCAACTAAGGCTCATCTACACTGTTAGAAGGAGTGCAAAATGACACACCACTTTGCAAAAACAGTTTGGCAAAAACGCTTATAAACTCAAATACAAACCTATTCCGTGATCTAGCAATACCCCTTTTCTAGGTTTTTACCCAAGGAAATGAAAACATATGTCCACACAAAGACGTGGACAAGAATGCTCACAGCAACTTTGTTCCTAACAACCAAAAGCTGAAAATAACACAAATACCCATCACCAACAAGGCGAATGAATAAATTCTATGTCGATAAAACAAACACAGCAATAAGAAGAAATGAACCACTGACACACACAACATGGATGAATCCCAAAAATCTTACGCTGCATTCAAGTAGCCAGACACCAAAGAGTGCAATGCAACCTCTATGACTCCATTTACATGAAATTCTACAATATGCAAAACTAATCTACAGTGACAGAGAGCAGAACAGTAGGCCGGATTGACTGGATAGGGCAAAGAGGGAATATAATAGGATGATGAAAAAATTCTACATCTTCTTTGGGGTTGTGGTTACACATATGTCAAATCCATAGAATATACACGTAAAATCTGTACCTTTTATCTTATGTAATTATTCCTCCATTACAATGAAGTTTTTAAAAAGGACAGGCAGCAGCATCACACAGCCAGTTTGGATGTCAACTGATACTTAAAATACACAGTCACCGGCTCCCTATTCACAAACATTAGCAATCCCTACACAAGTATTTGAAGGTACTGGCCCTGATGCATGAGAAAAGAGCCTGATTTTTTATGAAGAGTGGGGGAAGGGGCAACACACACAGCATACTCTTTTAAGGCATCATCTACGCACTCACCCCCATTATAAATGATGCAGTTGTGCAAAATCCACTTGGCGTCCGCCAGGAAGGCCTCCGTGCAGCCATACATTTTCTTCTTAGCGTTCTGCAGAGAAAGCCAGAGCACAGTCACACCGCGTCTACACAGGCCACAGCCAGGAGCACCTGCGCCCCCACATAATTTTCTTAGCAGTCATTTGCCAAATTAATTAATGCTTTTACTCCGTTTCCCAAGATGCTATTGTAGTGGAGATCTGTAACTCCATAAAAACGCATCCACTGAATTTATCACACTAAGCTGAATTTTCTCATTTTACAGCAGCTTATTCCAATGCAACAGGACATAACATGTACTTATGTATTTGTTATTATTTGTAATAGTCTCCCATAAGCCTCATGATTGAGAACTCGATGAAGCAGTCATTATCATCCCCATTTTACAGACAGGCGGGCCGAGGTATGGGAATGTTAAGGAACGTATGCAGAGTTCCAAAACTATTAATTGATGAAGCTAGAATTCCAACCCTGCCTTTTTTGAATGCCTGCTTTTTTGGAATGCCAGGAGGATGTGTGCAATTTCCCAAAAGCAGGTTGGATTAACTGTTTAGGGATCATCAGTGCACATATGCTTTCCAACCTCATCCATGCTTTCTTGACCCAGATTTTGGTGTCAACAATTTGAAAATCAACACAGGATGTTGTGCACAATCTAACGGTTTACAAGTGTCCTTTTCAGCATGGAGATTTAGCATGAATTTTAAAAATACCTCCAGGCATTAAAGAAACACCCTTATCAGTAAAAGAAGTCAAGTTCTATGAAGCCATAAATGCACTGCTAATGTGAACGTTTCCCAGACACTTAATTTTCTCTTCTGCCCTCCTGCTGCTCTCATTAGCACCTCCGAGAGGAAGAGAAGAGGTAAGGCTCAAGTCCATCAAATCGCTAATTCTTAGAAGCTATGACTTTTTCAGGTGAAGAATCGCAAGCAGAAGTAATATTTGGAGCTTATCCGTGGACTGCAACACTCCATTGCAATCCCTGCAAAAATGTTACAGAAGAAGTTAGGGAATAAAAGTTCTTTCATCCCAATAAAAATTCACAGAGGACACGTAGAGCAACCATGTTGAGATGGGGCACGAAAAGTGAGGGCAGATCCTCAGTCATCTCGACAACCGTGGGCTACACAACGGTGAGGTTCTGGGATGGAGGCCAACCTTTTCCAATGTACAAAGGTCCATGGGGTGGAAGATGTATTCTGCGTAGTCGGGATGCTGTTCCAACGGAACAGGCTTCTGGAATGCGTCTGTCTATAAGGGAAAAGACGTGCACACACAGACACAAACCATTATTGCTGGGGAAGACCAAGCATTAAGGCCAGCAAAGCACGTTAAGCTGGAAACAACTTTTCAGACAACAGGCTTTAAACTTTTCACAAAGAATGACCCTGAGGAGCGCTCCAAATCGGTTCCCCTTCTAATTCCGCCTTTTGATCAATAATCATGGACCCAGCTGTGTTCTGGCTTTATTTGCTCCCTTTTCAAGATGTATGCAAATAACAGGTCCTGTTCTTCTTATACAGGGTGGGGCTAACGTCGGTCCGCAGTTGTTCCCACGGGAAATAACAATAAACAGTGATACGAGAATGAAGTCTGTGTTTCACGTACTCACAGCTGTAAACCTACTTTTGCCCCACCCTGTATTAAGATTGACAAGAACAACTATCAGTTCCTTTAGACCTGAACTTTGAACGAAGTTTATGTATACTCTGCAAATACCCATAATCAAAACTGACTAAGGACGAAAAATGACACTCCAAATAAAGTTCCCAAAGTGCCAGCAGATATTTTGCATGTGGGAAAAAAATTTAAACAGCAAGGTTTTGCTTTTCCTTTAACACATTGTATGCAGGAAACGTATTTATACGTTTTACATTGACTGGAGGTAGTAGAGCGCGGGACATGTATTAAAAAGCCCAGTTACCCTCAACACAGGAACTATGTAAGTTTCTCATTTTGATCCATTGTCTTAAGCCCTACTTGAATCGGCTAAAAAAGTAAGCCTGATCTGTTGATGGGTGGTATTTAGTTATCAATTTTAAAAAATTAAAAGATTTAGTTATAAATATTAAAATATACTCAAGCAAGGGATCTGGGTGGATTACCATTTGCAGTCAGCTGAGCCCTTTTATCCAGAATGTATGAGTGACCATTGTAAGTTTAAAAGATGCTACCTACCACAGCCCCAGCCAGTTTGGCTCAGTTGGTAGAGCGTCAGCCTGCAGACTGAGGGTCCTAGGTTCGAGCCCAGTCAAGGGCACATGTCCGGGTTGCAGGCTCGACCCCCAGTAGGGGGCGTGCAGGAGGCAGCAGATCAATGATTCTCTCTCATCATTGATGTTTCTATCTCCCTTCCTCTCTAAAATCAATAAAAATATTTTTTTAAAAGATGCTGCCACAGCCAAAACCGGTTTGGCTCAGTGGATAGAGCGTCGGCCTGCAGACTGAAAGGTCCCAGGTTCGATTCCGGTCAAGGGCATGTACCTGGGTTGCGGGCACATCCCCAGTAGGAGATGTGCAGGAGGCAGCTGATCGATGTTTCTCTCTCATCGATGTTTCTAACTCTCTATCTCTCTCCCTTCCTCTCTGTAAACAATCAATAAAATATATTTTTTGAAAAAAATTTAAAAAAAGATGCTGCCACAAAAATCAGCAACTTTCTGAACTGATTGATTTTATATCAAACAATTTATGTGAGAAATTAACACCCTATCCAATTTTTCTTTGTGGTTTATCATTCTACAGTGTTGACAAGTCTACATAATTATTCTTCTTGTAAACAGTCCTCAGCAGATATAATTAATCCAGCCTATGAAAAACAGGAAGTAATTCCTTGTCACTAAAAATAGAAAACTCAATAGTTTTAAAAACATCTGTCTTTTTAACCAAACTGAGGCTATTAACTTTTGCTTCCATTGATGAACATTTTAATAAAGAGAAAAATAGATTACAATTTAGCAATACTTAATTGGCACACTCTCAATCTTTTTCATCATAATATCAAATTTCACTATGTCGCCTAACTGGTTTGGCTCAGTATGTCGCCTAACTGGTTTGGCTCAGTGGATAGAGCGGCCTGTGGACTGAAGGGTCCCGGGTTCGATTCCGGTCAAGGGCATGTACCTTGGTTGCGGGCACATGCCCAGGAGGGGTTGTGCAGGAAGCAACTGATCGATGTTTCTAAATCTCTAACTCTCTCCCTTCCTCTCTGTAAAAAAAAAAAAAATTTCACTATGTGAAAACTCAAAGCTAAAGCGTACTTTTTTTAAAGAAATTAAACCACAGTGGTTACTAAATATTCTACATTTCTATAGATTCATTGGACTTAGAAAGCAAACTCCAAAGAGTCACAAAGGTTCGCTACTGGTGCAAATGAGAAAAAGAGAACTCCGTCCTCAAGTTTCTGTAGGAAAAAATTTCATAATATGTTGATTACAATGGCATAATATATGGATTACTTTTAGAAGAAAGGTATTTTACTGCCATCTTCCTGAAAACTGTCACCAGAAATCTAAAACCTCCTTGGCTATGATCAGACTGGCACTCAGGAGGGAACCCAGGTGAAGTGCGCAATTTGCCAGCCGACTGTGCCAGCCCTGCTTCCACATAGATTTTCTTCGCCCTGGCCGGGTTGCTCAGTTGGTTAGAGCACCATCCCAATACGCCAAGGTTGCAAGTTCGATCCCCAGTCAGGACCAACCAATTAATGCGTCAATAAGTGGAAAAACAAATTGATATCTCTCTCCCTCTCTCTCTGTCTCTCTCAAGTCAATAAATAAAATTTTCCTTAAGGGGAAGGGTCCATACATCAAATCCTATTTCAACATTGAAGGAACTAATCAAATTCTCACCCTTTATGGGAAACGGCACTGGTTGCATTTTACTTGAAGGTTTCATCATCAGACCTTGATTATAAATCAACTGGGTTGTACTCAGGTCTCTCATCGCAATGGAAGTTTACCAACTCACGTGGGAAGGAGTGAAATTCCCCTTACTCGATGGGGTATGAGGGAGTTTACACTACATAACCAATCAGAATTTTAAATCCCCATCAAGTTTCTCCACCATATGTCATTTCCCAACTAAAGTCCTTGAGGACACAGAGTGCTCATTATAGAAAAGTGAATGCTGTCATAACTTACGTTTCATTTTCAGTTGTTTGAATTCGGGCACGTAAGAAGGCCTGAAGAGCACACATAGCTAAAGCTATTATGAAATAAGAGTTTAACAGAACAGCCCAACTGGCATGGCTCAGGGGTTGGGCATCGACTATGAACCAGGAGATCACGGCTCGATTGGTTCAATTCCCGGTCAGGGCACATGCCTGGGTTGCAGGCTCAATCCCCAGTGGGGGACATGCAGGAGGCAGCCAGTTAATGATTCTCTCTCATCATTGATGTTTCTCTCTCACTCTCTCCTTTCCTCTCTGAAATCAATAAAAATATATTAATTTAAAAGATACAGATTTTTTTAAAAAGAGGTTAGTAGAACAAAAGTCACTACTTCCATTTACACTTATACCACAAGGAACTTTCTTCTTACCCCTGGCTGTTTCATTTTCTGAATGGCAAACTTGAGCAGGTAGGACAACTGTTCGATGGTGAGCATTGTCATAGCTTTGCTCTGGGTCTCGATGCATTCTGCTACTGTAATCTTCTACAAGTCAAACCACACAGAGGGCCAGTTAGGGAAAAAGTTACTATCCACAGACTGATTTCCTTTGCCTCCTAACTTTCCAGTTAGCTCACAAATAGAAGGAAATAATTTCCAAGTGAGACGATAGTTGTTTCACTTGACAAGGACTCCAATCTACTTGGAGTTTACTGGATCAATGGATAAAGGTCAGAAGCACACAAATCCTCTGACGACCTTATTAGAAGTGCCCTGTGCTCATGAAGATGACAGAATCTGAGAAAGATGCTTGCAGCTAGGCAGGGACCTGAAAATCGCCATCATTACAATCTTGAATTCCAAGAATGGGATAAGAGAAAAGGCCACTGATGCTTTCTGGATAATCTCTTCATAGAATGAATCAACCACTTATCTTGAATGTTCTTAAGGTTCAGGGCTATCTGTCAGGAAATTGACAAGGCATTCACCCAGTGACATCACCGAGAGAAAGCATGAATCCAAGGGATGGTAGTTCTCTATCACCACTGATGGGAACTCACTTAGGACGCTCTGGCAAACTGCACAAGAAACATAGCCTAGCTGTTTAGCTCCGTGGGCAAGAAATGCCACTTTGTGAGGGAAACTCCCATCCAAGAAGAGACCCGGAGAAATGCCTGAAACTGGATTCTGCTACGTAAATCTGGTGGTGCTACATCTCAGAGCTCCAGCATCCTCGGGCGGCGAAGACAACCAAAACAGCAAGGCTGCTGATGGCAGGGAGCGCTCTTGAGCCAGCTGCGTCGAGAGCTGAGAAAGTTTTCTCCAATTAATTTGGATTTCATGTCCATTCTTCCTGTCTCTGGATGCTCCAAAAGGAACTTGCAGATGTGTCTGGTTGTCAAGGAAAAGGGCAACAGAAAGTGGCTCTGAAGCCGAACACAGTCCGTGACGCACGTCTCTAATTGCTTGGCTACCAGCGCCTGCAAGACCTCGTCTTCTCAGCTGACTGCCCTACCAAGTCACCCTGCAGGGAAACCGGGGCTTGAAATCTTAGACACAGCACTCCTGTTTGTTTGAATTCCCGTGCGTTTCCAGGTAACCGATCCATGGCGAACACTTGGGTTGCATGCTCAACTGCCATTCGCCTCCTCTGCCACCCTCCCCCCTACCTCTTGCCTGCCCTCCTGGCTGGCAGTGCCCGGTTCCCACGATATAGACGGAAAGTGCCAGATGAGCATTTTTCAAGCCTTTTTTGCATAAGGACTGGTGATCCAATCCTGACCAATGAACTGAAGAGCAAGTCTGCTTGATAAAAAGGGACGTGAAGAGGGACACTCCTTGTAGGGGATTTTTGCTAGCCACTGTCATCAAATCCCCAGCAGCCATCACAGGGCCATGCAGGGACACATGGCCCTAACGACGGAATGGAAAGAGTCTGGCTCTGAACAAACGCTGGCCTGGCCCTGCCTCTGGGTTTTTCCTAAACATGCTAATAAAACCCTCTTGTTTCTCCGTCACCTTTCATCAAGATCTATTATTTGCAGCAAAAACATCCTCTCAGAGCCACTATCTTTTTTGCAAAATGAAGGAAGGGAGGGTTGGTCAAGACAAAAGGAAATAGGTGAAGGCTCCAGTTCCCACACTAAATGCAGAAGAATGAGGTGAGGCTCTGACCAAGAGGGTTTGGCTGAGTAAAACGTGACCTGCGCATCTCTCCATCTAGAGCAGCGGTCGCCAACCTTTCGGACCTCACGGACCACCAGTGGTCCGCAGACCACCGGATGGCGACCGCTGATCTAGAGTAACCCAAAGCGAACCAGAAGCCATCCTTTGCAACTTCAGGGGCAGAACAACATTAACATGTCATCATCCTATTGGATGAAAGTCTAATTTCTTATATTTCTCCTTTTCCTACACAAAGTGGCACCGCAGACACTATCCTATACATAGCTTGCTTTTTTTCCCCACAAATAACATCTGGGTGAACTTTCCATTTCACACATAGAAAGCTTCCCTCGGTTGAGATCTAATGCCAACAGATCCTTTGGATCACGTGACATTCCACAGGAAATAATTCTATAGACGACATTATTTTCAGCATTTTGAAAAGCATCCTAGTTGGAAATCACCAAGAACAGAAGGCACTTCAGAACAGCGGAAACCACCCCAACTGTTTTAAGGAGTGTTTAGACTTTGCTACAAATGAAATACAACATTCCCTTCACTGTGCCAGTGGCTTCTTTCTGCCTGGGGTCCTGAACCTGCTGCCCCTCTGCCTGGAGGGTCTTCACTCCTCCTCTTCACGTCTTTCTCAAATCTTAGTAAGGCCTCCTGGGTCTCTTCATTTAAAATGGGAACACCCTGCGCCCTGTTCCTCATCGTCAACTCATTCTCTCCCGAACACTCTTCCTCTAACACACCGTATCTAACTTCAGCCTGGTTTCTGCCCTTTCCCCCTGGAAAGAATGTGATTCTTGCCTCTTTTTCTTTACTGCTGATTCCCTAGCACCGAAGCAGCACAGAAGAAGCAGATGTTGCCAGAACGGAAGCATCAGATGGCAACCACACAGAACATACAACCAAAATTGGTCTTCCTAGCGTGGCTACTGCCGATGATTCAATGATGAAGCAGGAGACAACATCCAAGAAAGGGAAAAATAGCGTGAGATCTTTTCAAAATAGGTAAAGATGCCTAGGTTAACTTCTGGAATGTTCATTACAAAAGAGAAGGTTGCGGATCTCAAAGCGATCCAAAGACCCATGAGGAATCAAAAAGAATGTCTTTCCAAGAGGCCACTTGGACCAACTGCCAATGTTGGTCCAAAAAGGAGATGGATGACCAGGATAGAGCAGGTGGAAGGCAAGAAATTTCTCTTTTCCCTGTATCTTGATGATTTGAAGAGTTAAAAATATAAGGGAGAAAGAGAAAGGAGAAGAAACCAGGCAGAGAATGCATTCATTCATCAGAAACTGACCTCACATTCAGGACAAAACCAGTCCCCCTCTGGTTCCGATGTCAGTCTCAGACACTTAGCGTGATAAACCCGGGGACAGAGCTCACAGCAAAGGACTTGGCCTTCCCGGTGACAAACCCAGCAGTAGAAATCATTCCGTCCATCCTGCGGTACAACATCAACAGGGTCTGTGGTGAGTGGCTGCTTCATATAGTAAAACGGACCATGTCTTAGTTCTGACTGAAATGTAGGCAAGAAAGACAGGTTTGGTTTCAAAACAAATGTGCATTCTCAAAAGGAATTTTTACAAACACATCAAGAAACAACAAAAGACAATTACAGCATTTCATACATTCATTAAAAAGCCACCCTGGATTACACTACTCAATACATGGTTTACAGATCATTACATATTAAGATGTTTCTCTTGCTTCTATTTTAAGAGGACATAGATTAAAAAACTAATGTCTAAGAATTAATAGGCAGCCCTATAGCAGGATAGCAAAATGGCTACAACCCAGGCATACCTGAGTTTAAATTTTAGCTCTACCAGCTACAGGACCCTGGACAGGTCTCTTAACCTCTCAGCTTCAATTTTCTCATCTGTAAAATGGGCATGATAATACTTAACGTCATGGTATTTGGTCGGGATTAAATGGGATGATACAATGCATGCATTTAACACAGTGCCACCATTACTAATATTGCTGATATAGTTAAGAGTCCAATATATGGAAGTCTAAATGTGCAAAGCCAACAAAACAATGTCAGTTTGCCCTGGGATTCTTTCAACATCAGGCTTTTGGAGAATAGACCCATTGGATTTGAGTCACCAAAGAATGATCATCCATTTTTTACTAGTACGTCTACCCTGAACGCACATAATAATACTATGAGCCAACAAGGGGCTTCCTGAAGCCGTGATTCGTAAATATGGTAGGTCCCCATCGACCAGGATCTATATCACCCACTTAGGACCAACAATGCAGAAAGATGAGATGGGCAGCCAATTCACAGGAGCCAGACCCCATCTTATTCCGAAATACCAAGAGCAATAGCTCCCTAATGATATAATATAGAATCCAGCAAAGCCATACTCCAAACACATAAAATCCCTCAGATGAAACTCGTTAGGAAAATGTCTATCGGAAACCAGTAAGAAATCTTGCTTTGGAAGTCGATAGTCTGGTGGTAAACATCAAAATGACCTGGGGCAACTGGCCATGTGACCTTAAGAAGGCTCCTCAATCCTCTTTAGGCCTCGATGCCATGCACAATAGCTTAGTCACAACCCTAGTACCTAACCTCTGAATAAACCTCCTTGTATAACCTCCTTTTTCTTGTTCTTCATTAAAACATTACAGTTTCCTCCATAAAGATCTCATATACTGGTTAGAGACTGCATAATGTTTGTTGGTATGTTAATGGCATCTTTTTCTATTACATTTTCTAAATAATTATTGGTGGTACACAGAAATGCTACTAGATTTTTTAATTGTCCTCACATATAAACAGTTCTAATACTTTATTGATTAAAAAAATCTCGCCGAAGCCGGTTTGGCTCAGTGGATAGAGCATCGGCCTGCGGACTGAAAGGTCCCAGGTTCGATTCCGGTCAAGGGCATGTATCTGGGTTGCAGGCACATCCCCAGTGGGAGATGCGCAGGAGGCAGCTGATCGATGTTTCTCTCTCATCGATGTCTCTGGCTCTCTATCTCTTTCTCTTCCTCTCTGTAAAAAATCAATAAAATATATTTTTCTTAAAAAAAATCTCATCTCTGAGGCACTGGCCAGTGTTTTTCATGGTTAGAATGTTGACCCACACACCAAAAGGTCACGGGTTCAATTTCCAGTCAAGGGCATGTCCCCCAGTTGCAGGTTTGATCCAGTGTGTGGGATGCAACCAATTAATGTGTCTCTTTCACGTCAATGTTTCTCTCTCCCTCCCTCTCCCTTCTTCCCCTTCCCTCCCTTCCTCTCTCTCTAAGAATCAACGGGAAAATAACATCAGTGAGGACTAACCAAAAACAACAACTTATCTCTGAGTAATGTCAGTTTTGTCCGTTCATGCCTCATATCGTCACATTTTTTTCTTTTTTCCTTATTTTTTGAAAATATTTTTATTGATTTCGGAGAGGGAGAGAGAAAACCATCAATGATTAGAGATAATCACTGATCGGCCACCTCCTGCACAACCCACACCTGAGATCAAGCTCACAACCTGGGCATGTGCCCTGACCGGGAATCAAACCGTGACCTCCTGACTCACAGATCTACACTCAAGCACTGAGCCAGGCTGGCCGGACTTTCTGGCTAGAACCCCCAGGATAATGGGGGAAAGTGGCCAAGATTGCAGGCACCTAGGTCTTGTTCCTGGTTTTTATTATGAGGTTTTAATGCTCTGAAATGCCTGCTCTTCCTTGATAAAGAGCCTCACAGATGCCTGGCAGATCCTCATTATCCAATCCTTCTAAAGCTCCTACTCTCGTTTCTACTAAGAAAACAACTAAGACTTTTAAGAGTGACTGCATTGAGGGGCGGGGGAGCATGCAACAAGGAAAGTAGAGGATTATTACTTCAAGGTAATGGCACCAAACCTAGGGACAGAGGTAGGCTAGGGCTCTAAAACCTGGCTCCCCGATGGCCCACACGGGGACATATTATATACAGGAAAAATTAATTATGGTTATTAAATATTTTTAAAAAGAATAAAAAATTTAGAGAAATAAGAAAAAGTTAAAGGTCCAACAAGATAGAAAATCTATCTTGTTATTCTCTGATTAAATTGGCTTCCTAAATTTCCATATGTATTTGAGTCAGTGTCTGAACTTTTTGTCTGTCTGTCTATTGACAAACCAGCAGTAACATGTTTCCATTACTGGTTTAATAAATCTTATATGGCTACTGTTCACTCAAAAAGGAAAATAAAATCTATTGACCAGAAAATAAAAATCATGGTGATTTAAGGGAGTTGGGGTCCTGATGTCAGTCCACCATGGTGTTTTTCTGTGTATAGTTTCATGATGGTGTGAGAGGCAGCATTCATCCACTTTCATGGGCCTCGGGCAAAGGACATCTCCAATTTCCAAAAGCAGAGCCAATTCTCAATCTAGGCCTTTTCAATTCCTCATTTCTCACGCTGCAAACGAAAGTGCCACAGGCAGGGGGCGCCCGATCACAGACTGCCATCAAGCCTCCATTTCCAAGACAATAGGTCTTGGGCAGCTGCTAGGCAGGGGCCTGGTGGCCAACCCCAAGCCAGGATCACCAAACCCACAGGGAAAAAAGCCCCAAGTTAGGGACCAAAATTGTTACCTGACTAAAGGGATCCATTTGCCCGAGTGCATCAAAGCCCAATAAAACTCCAACAGGCGTTTGCAGCCAAGAAAGTAGGCTTACTCGTTTAAGAAAGTGGCTCCAAGCCCAGAGACACAGATAAGCCCGTCCTCTAAAACCTGGCTGCAGGGAATGCATGGCTCTGGAGCCCAGTTATGTCCCTGTGTCACTTCAACAGTTAAGACAGACCCTTTACTTGGTTTCCAGAGAGTAACACTGCTCCGATAGTCTTCCCACGTTATGGTTTTCAGCATACTGTCACACACACCATCTCCACTTTATCCTCACAACCACCCAGAGAGGTACGCGGGGTAGACACTACTAATCTTACTTGGTGAGAAAACCAGGTTAAAAAGACTTCTCTGGGGGAACTGGGTGGAAAAGGTGAAGGGATTCAGAAGTACAAATTGGTAGTTACAGAACGGTCACAGGGCCCTGGCTGGTATGGCTCAGTTGGTTGTGCATCGTCCTGTGCACCAAAAGGTCACGGGTTTGATTCCCAGTCAGGACACATGCCCAGATGGTGGGTTTGATCCCCAGTCAGGGTCAGGGTGAATGCAGGAGGGAACTAATAGATGTTTCTCTCTCTCTCTCTCCTTCTCCCTTCCTTTCTCTCTAAAATCAATAAAAACATATTTTTTTTTTTTAAAGTCACAGGCATAGAAAGTACAGCATAGGAAATAAGCACAGTCACTATATTGGATTGCTAATGTATGGTGCCAGGTGGATACTTGAAATATCGGGGATCACTCTGTAAAGTGTATGCTTCTTCTAACCACTATGCGGTACACCTGAAACTAGCACAAAATTATATCGAATGTAAACTGTAACTGAAAATAAAATTCAAAAAAAAGCTTATCTGAACTTTCTCTTGCCCCTGTGCCCCCCCTAAAAGAGGATGATGGATGCAGAAGAGATTCTGATTGAGTGACCCCTGAGAGAATAGTCTCTGTAGTTCAAAAATAATTTCTGTTTAATGCCTAAAGCTGGAGGGGAAAATCTGGGCATTAGGAAGGCACGAGAAATATACCAGACGGGGGCACGAAAAGGTAACCTTATTAGAGCAAAGGCTCTCAACTTCCGCACCAGTGATATTGGGGCCAGAAAATTCTTGGGGTGGGGGCACTTTCCTGCTCACTCAGCTATATGTAGCTCACTGGCTAGATCCAATAGCATCCCCCATACACAAAACTGTGTCGACCCAAAATGTCTCCAGACGCTGCTAAATGTCCCTTGGGGAACCAAACTGCCTTCAGTTGAGAGACACTAATGTAGCAGGTCTGCTTGGGTTTCTTAGGGTGCTTAGGAGAGGAGAAGAAAAGTTATATTGAAAGATAAACTGTGGCCCTAGCCAGTTTGGCTCCGTGGATAGAACATGGGCCCTCGGACGGAGGTTCCCAGGTTCAATTCCAGTCAAGGGCCAAGTGCACGAGGCAACCAATTGATGTGTCTCTCTCCCATCAATGTTTCTCTCTCTGTGTCACTCCCCCTCCCTTCCACTCTCTCTAAAAATCACTGGAAAAATATGCTCTGGTAAGGATTAGCAAACAAAAAGAAAGATAACCTGTTATATCAAGCAAGCAGAACTATCTCTAACCTGAGTAGGGTCTTCCAGAATGCTCTTGTGGCTTCTGCAAGGCAGCAGAAAGCCACAGTTCAGTGCCTGACTTCCTTTCAGTAAGCTAACAGGAAAATTCGAATATGGCCGCTGATCTCCCTAACTGGGCAACCCAAGTCCTTTCTATAGCACAGAAGCCATAGGTTTGCCACTTCAGACAGTAGTTTCTCCATGCCCTTGCCCTGCCCCACACCGGGGTGGGGCGCGGGTGTTCCCGGGAGGGTCGCCAGGAGTTGGCTGCTCCAATCTCTCAGGAGACTCCATCCTTTCCTGAACCAGGGACGCT